GAGGCATGGGGTTGGTCATGCCCAGATGCCAAGGGCTTCAAGTGCCATGATAAAGAGTTTGGACTTTCTTCTTCAGTCATTAGGAAGCTGGTACCGCCATGCCGTGTTTTCCTTCTTGAATGTCTCCTGCCGGTGTTGCCTCATTCTGTGGAAGCCACTGGAGATCCTAGGAGCTCCATGGTGTCTGACGTCAGCAGCTGAGATCAGCTGAGGGGACAGTTTATTGCTGTGGCATTGTAAAAACTAGTGTTTTCATGCAATCTTTTGATCCTTTGTCCTCCACAACTACTATGAAATTAAATCCAAAGCTATAAACAGAAACCTAATTTCAATTCTTACGTTCTTTTTTTTTTTTTTTTAAGATTTTATTTATTTATTTGACAGAGAGAGCGGGAGTAGGAACACAAGCAGGGGGAGTGGGAGAGGGAGAAGCAGGCCTCCCGCCGGGCAGGGAGCCCGATGTGGGGCTCGATCCCAGGATCGTGACCCGAGCCCAAGGCAGACACTCAACGACTGAGCCACCCAGGTGCCCCAGTTCTTATGTTCTTAACTTGTAAGATTAATACAGAGAAACTTTCCAAAGAAGCTTTTATGTAAGATTAAATGTATGTAAGATTAAATGTAAAAGTTTTTATGTAAGATTAAAAGTTAGGGTTTGTTTCTCCTAATTAAATTTTTTCTTTTTTTGAGAAATTGCACATTTAAGTGATGTTATGAAGAAGTATTGGGATATTGTTGACGAGCTGTAATCAGTGTGATTTAAAATGCTTATTAACTTCTGTTAATTACTGTTTAAAATTAACCTTCAAAAAGCAAGCAGCATCTTTCTTAATGGCTTTTTTTTTTTTTTTCAAAAACCCATTTTTATTAGTCATTGTTCTGGTGTTAACAAGGTGACTAGATATGGACCCGATTATTTTTTTTTTTCATTTAAAGCCCATTCTTTCCTACTTTCAGTCAGAAAAACAATCAGTAAGTTATGAACATTTCAGTCAGATTGCAAATATATTGCCCTAGCTTACTCACAGAAAGGGAATTAGCAAACTGGCAAAAATCATAGAATAGAATATGGTAAGGTATACCTCCCATTGAGTTTCTTAGGTGGGGACAATTTAAAACAAAATCAAGTGAATTTTAAAATCTAGAAGATGTTCTGCTTTCAGCAATTAGCCTGGCAGTCCAGGCACTTGTCCTGGTGAGGCCGCCCTTGAACAGCAGATGGATGTTATTCATGTTCCTTTCTTCCTCCCTCCCTCCCTTCATTCCTCTGTCCTTCCTTTTTTTGTTTTTAATTGCCTTCAGTGTTTATAGCACTTTTCTTTTGAATGCCTTTGGTAATAACAAACTTTGATTTTTTGAAGTTGGATTTTATTTTGGGAAATAACCAGAAGGCCTATGGAGTCCTAGCTTATTAATATAACAGGTGAGCACTTTGGGGAATTCTGTTTTTGCTAAGATTATATGCTAGAACTATTAGGCACTGAGGCTGATTTTTATTGTGTATATCATGAACTGCTTTTAAAGAAAACATCAAAAGGGACATTACAGAAACGTGTTGAGAAATGAAAGAATTGGAATAACTCTATATCTTCCTGAGGTGACTTTCTGTGCAGAACAACATGATTTGAATGTAGTAAGTCCTGTTATTTTGTTTCTTGGGGGCTTTGTCCCTTTAATTTGCTGTCATATTTTATGCATTAAATATAGTTAATATTTTTTAATTCAAAAAGGACTTTAGGCTGCATTAACAGCTCTGTTTTTAATTTGAACATTAGTTCGTATATTACTGGATATGTGAAGATGTACCTGTTAATAGGGGACCCAGTAAATAGACGGTGTCAGGGTAAACTTTTTTTCCTAAGCATAAATGAATGGTTATAAGTGCCATTTGAAATTCTGAATATCTACAAGATAGTTGGATTTTGGTAACTGTGCAGTCTGAGAAGCTTTGCTGTCAGTAACTGCGAGAGTTTATTCTATTCGCTACTGTTCCTCCTCTGATTCACCCTTAAGTAGTAATTTACTCTTGAGGAAAGGGGAAAGCTCTGTTCTTGAGGCCATTATGATCCGAAAGGTTTGGTTTGTTAGTGACATTACCTATGATGTGACACCTGAGGCAAAATATTTTAAATAAGGCGGTGTAAGTCAGCTTCATGAATTATCTACTGCTTCTCTCTTGGTTCCGCCCCCCAAAATTAATGATGCCATTTTTATTCTTGTGATTTTCTCCCTGCAACTCCCTAAGTGTTCTGTTAGATACTTTGGAAATGGTTGTTCTCGCCAGGATCTGCCCTGTTACTGTTGTGAGTTAGTGATGGGTCTCCGACTAAAATTTGTTCTCTGGATGCTTGTCCATTGTCTTTCTTTGTGATGTTTTCTCAGCTGCCTGATTGAATATATCCGCCCCAAGGACTGGTTACAGAAATATTGCAGTGCATTATCCAACCTAAGCCTTTTTTTATTTTCTTGCAAGTGAGCATTTAAGCATATAAATAATACATATTATAGAAACAATATTTAGAGCACTGGGTAAGAAAGGAATTGCTTTCATGCTAGAGTATTATACAACTTTGACAATGGGATCTCTTCATTTTCTAAATCAGAGATTCTTGCGTACTTTAGAATCCATTTCAGTACACTATAGACCTTTAAAAATTACAAATAAATTGAGGTGGTTTTTTTTTCAGAACTGACTTGGAGAATTTCATTGTACTTCATAAGGTAACTGGTGTCATACTGGAGTCCTGAGCCAGAGTCCGTCAAGACTCATTGAACCACACGCGCACAGAAGGCTTTTGATAGAGCATGTTTTTAACTTTAAAATAATTACCTTGCTGATCTGGAGACCTTTGAAAAGTCCATAAAGTTAATTACACCATGAGACACACCCTCTGCTCAGCTGCTTAAATACTGTATCAATATTACAGGGTTCCTTTGTTAAAATCAATGTGGTTGAAGTACAATATTATAGTAATACGCAGTTCACTGTGTGCAGGCATTTATAAAGTAAGATGATAGTAGTAACTACACAGTTGTTAAAAAGTTCAGGACTTTTTGCTATTGTATCATTAAGATAGGGAGGCTTTGGGAACTTGGTACATTTTTGCATACTTTGGGTTGGTGCTACCTGACAATTGTCCTAAATTATTTAGTCCATTGCCCTTGTATCATATGATTCTTTGACTTTACGTTGTTGATTTAGTTCTGTGACTTATAAAAAGATCTAAGAACATTTTGTAAGTATTTTAAGGTCAGCAGTTAATGATAATCAGAGTTAACAAGAGCTGCTTACTTACGTGCCAGATACTAGTGTAAGCACGTGACATGTATTACTTAAAGCTCTCAACAAACCAGTGAGGTGGAGACTTTTATTATCCTCATTTTACAGATGAGGAAACTGAGCTAGGAGAAGTTACCCAGGGTCATACAGTAGTAGTAAGTGGTAGAACTTAGATAGGTAAGTGGGTAGGTAACTACATAGACAGGTAGATAGATAGGAAAAAGTAGAGACGTTAAGATCAGTAAGGGGATATTAGTGAGAGAGATAATAGTTCACTGGCTGCCTGCTATGGTCTAGGCATTTTGTTGGGCAGTGAGGAAACAAACACAAGACTCTAGTCCAGCCCTCGTGGAAACCACATTTGGTCATGGAATGTCAAAATATAAGTAATTAATGATGCAGTGTGAACATTCTATAAAATTGATATATGTGTGAAGTCTATAAAAATAGACTAGAGGAAGGAATCAGACTTGTGAAGGAGACTGAGGTGAAGGGATATTTCACAGAGGAGATGACTTTTGTTTGAACACAACTAGAATGCTCTTCGAGGACAAAGACCGTGTGTTTCCAACTTTGTGTCTCCAGATCCCTAGCAAAGCGCCGGGAGGTAATGAATGCTCAGTAAATGTTGGACAGATAAATGGTGGCAGTCTGGCCAGCGAAGCAGATGTGGGGGAAGAGCATTGGAGGAGATGCCCTGCTTCCTCCACCCCTTGCCCCATTGAAAGCATGGGGGCAAGCGGACACGTGTTGTGCTCTTCTGAGATAGGACTTTGGGTGTGTCATTGGGAAGTGGCATGTTTGGGATTGTGACTGTCATCCTTTCACTTGGACCGCATCCCCTGGTGGGAATAGTCCCTACTCCCAACTTCCTCAGAACACCTGCTTTGAATCCTACCCTTATTTCAAGGCCTTGGTAAAACCACACTTCCTCCATGGAGCTTTCCCAGCAACTGCCATGCAGGTACTCTCTGCTTTCTCTGGAGTCCCAGCACTCTTTGTCTCTGCCGCTCATTTGCCACTTAATAACCTATTGTCTTAGGTCACCTCTTTAATTATTATCTGTTGTTGTTTAAATTTTCCTGTGTTGTTCTCCAGTTCTTACTGTGAAAAGAATCTCAGAAATCATCTGCTAACCTTCCCATTGATAAAGAGGAACTGGAAGCTCAAAGAGTTGAAAAGAATTGTACAGATCAGATAAGCAGTTAGACTGAGTCTACCCCCAGAGCCTGATCCATGCTATCTGGGTACTCTGCTTTCTCCTGAACTCGATAGTAAGTTTGTGGAGGCGAGGAACCGTGTATCACACTTAGTGTGGGCCAAGTAGCTGCCCAGAGACATTTGTCAATGAAAGAATGAATGCCCCTTGGGCTCTCTGACTGATGTAAAGATAATGTGGTTCCCAACTTATAAAATAACATCTGGGGGATAAGAGTAAGACCTCAGCCATTAGATAATGTTTGTTCAGAAATAATATCAGAAGAGCAACTACTGGATAGTTTTCCTGTTAATTTCACCAGGACTACTGTTAAAGATGGCCAGTTGATTCATTGTTTAAAACTCACTTGAACAACTCAGTCAGCTTTATATATTTCTGACAGTTTAAACTTAGGTTGCTTATTTTTAAGTTGTGATTAGAAGTTAGTCTAAGTTATTTTCCAATATAAAAAAATAGTTTTCTTAATTTAATAATTTTTGCTTCACAGTGACATAATTAAGGATGGAGTTAGATCCCGCAGTGCCCTTGGAATTGCTAAGTGAGAAATCCTTCTCTGACTCAAAAGGAGGCTTACTGGTGACAAACTCTGCTGTCCCCAACATTCTTATCAGAGATTCAGCTGAGGTGGAGCCTTCTAAATGCATTCTTAAGTGGGAAGTGAGTGAAAGAGTTAGGTATGAGGTTATTGCTAAATAGGAATAGCCATGACTTATACAGGATTCATTACAGAGAAACCAACACAGTAGACCCTTGTGATTCATTGATTTAACATTCACAAATTCAGTTATTCGTGAAACAGTGACCCAGAAGATCCGTGACATGTAGTAATTTGTCATTTGAATCAGGTGTGCCGTGAAGTACCTGTGCGAGGAGCAAATCGCTTGGCTGGTAACAAACCAAATACCCAGTAGGTTTTTAGCTCATTACCACGTGTGTAGGAAGTTGTGAACTGGTCAAAACTTCTTTCTTTCTAAAAGAAAACCAGGAGGAAGAGGAGTAAAGAAGTCCTAGAAAGTAATGGTTCCTTACCAGAAAACAGAAATCTGGGGCAAATTAAAAAGCTGGTGTGCTGTATTTGGCAGTAGATTGAATCTCTGAAATGCCTGGTACAAAAACAGGGAAGAGCAGTTCCTAGAAATGCTTCCGTACGTGTTCCGGCCGGTGTGTTACTGCAATTTCTGGGGCAACTGTGGCAGCATATGCACCAATTAGTGTGTGCAGAGACCTCAAGAATTATCTCTTATGGAAATCCTGAGTCTGTATTTCCATGCCTTTTTTGTTTTTGGGGGGTTTTTTGGAGGCCCAGTATGACGGAATAGCCTTAAATTGCACCATTAATCTTGCAGATCAGCTGAGATGTCTCAAATCTCCTGTTGCTTAAGGCTTTAAGATCAGGTAGAATTCCTAGCATATATCCATAGCCACTTGTATCAAATACTGTTTTTTATTTCTTTCTTTTTCTTTTTCTTTTTTTTTTTTTTTAAGATTTTATTTATCTGAGAGAGAGAGAAAGAGCACGAGCAGGGGAGGAGTAGAGGGAGAGGGAGAAGCAGACTCCCCTCAGAGCAGGGAGCGTGATTTGGGGCTCAATCCCGGGACTCTGGGATCATGACCCAAGCCAAAGGCAGATGCTTAACCGACTATGCCACCCAGATGCCCCATCTTTCTTCTTTTTTTTTTTCTTTCTTTCTTTCTTTTTTAGAAAGGGAGGGAGGAGGAGCAGGAGAGGCAGAAAGAGAATGAGACTCTTAAGCAGGCTCCATGCCCAGCACGGGGCAACATGGGGCTCAGTCTCACAACCCTGAGATCATGACTTGAGCCTAAATCAAGAGTTGGATGCTTAACCAGCTGAGCCACCCAGGTGCCCCAAGAGTCTGTTTTTGTTTCTTAACAAGAACAACAACAAAACACTGTAGAATAGAAATTCACGTAAAACCAACCAATAAGCTCCGGAATCGCTAGAGAAAACCTGTGGGATTACTGCTCTCCCTTGTTTATACCTTACCTCCTTTGAGGCTCCCTTTCCCCCTTCCAAGGCAATTTTTTATACTCTCAGGTGTAATATGGGCAAAGGATAGTATTAACAAAAACCCTAAATTCTAAAAAGTGGCTTTTCTGAACATAGCTATGACTTCACAACAGGAAAATAGTAAGAAAAGGAAGAGGGGAAAATGGAGAAGGAATAGAGAAGGCAGACATTCTCCTCATTGGCTGCACAAGGGATCCGCAGTTCCTTGGAAAGACTGGACCGGCAGAAGCCTACACTCAGTATGGGGACAGAGTCTGAATATCACAGGTCACACGTATTAGTAGGATTTCAGCCATCACCAGGTGCAGATATCCAGATAAGTTGTGTCCACTGCAAAACCAAGGAGAAGAGCACAGAAGCACTGGTTAACATGTGAGGAAGCGATGGCAGCATGAAGGGGTTTTACAGACAGAGGGCTTTCTAGAACTTAATTCTGAGTTAAAGAGGCTACACCAAGTCAAGATTCTGAAAGCAGACACACTCAGCTTCCACATGAGGCTTTCTTCCATCTTGAATGCTGAGAGACACTGTCTGGTATTTATTACCAGCTGCTCTGGTCTTAGAATTTCTACTTTTCTATGACTCGCTTTCATTTTCTGAATGAACTGAGGGAAATTGCCAGAGGTCTAAATAAACTTCCTGGGGATTGGGTTGTTACAGAGGAACCCTGTCTTAGGAAGCCCTGTGGTGCTCCACATGGGAGCTGTCTCCTTCCAGGTCGCCAGTCCCAAGTCCCGTGGTGTGCCCAGAGATTCTGTCTTGGTGAGCCTGCCATTCCTCCCATTCCCAGCGTATTTGTTATCTGTGTCTGAGAGGACGAGGCTCTCTGCCTGTATGGCCAAGTAGCCTATCAGCACCTATGTGGTGGACAGCACCACAGCTACCCTATGACCAGAGGTTGCTCTTCTGACCTTTCTTACGCACTCTACTTAGAAAGGGTTACTTTTGGTTTGGTTTGGTTTGTATATTTAACTGATTTCATAATAAAGGAGCTTTGTAATCAAAATTTTAAGCTAGATTCTGAGCAATTTTAAGTATTGCAGAAAAGATGAATAACTGTCAGGGGAAGGTGCAGACTACAGACCAAAGGACGAGAACGTTTGTATGACCATATGTCTTGGTGGAACCAATGTAAAATTCCCCAGGAGACCTGGCTTCTGGCCCTGCCATGCCATTCGTTAGCCGTTAGCCAAATGACCCCTTGGGCAAATCATTTGGTTTTGCTAGACCACCGTTTTTTCCACTTACATGTAAGAATTTCTGGCTAAGAAAAATTCTTTTCCTTTGACAAGTACACGTCCTGTAGATAGAACCATTCCCACATTTTTATGCAAGGACAGGCATATTAATTCCTCTACTTTCTTGTAATTAAATCCTCAAATCTTCAATCCACCTTTATTTTATACTTTAATTATAGGAAGGATTAGATTGATTTGTTGAAATTAGAACATTTCAAAAGAAGCCTAGGCTTTCTGCTTAAAGTTTGCATGCATAGAAATCTAGGCTCCCTGATGACTAAGGGTTCTCTCTATATAGCCTTGCTTAATTATTAAAATATACAACTTATTACAATGTCTCTTACATGGTATTTGATTATTACTTATTTATGGAGTTGATGAATAAATAAGAATCTTCCAGGTACTTTTAACACAAATAAGCAATACAGACAGGTCCTTACACCTGCCTGTATTGCTTATTTGAGTGTTTCTCAAGTGATTCTTCAGAATGCTATATTTACTTTTATTCTTTGAAGGGAAGTGTACTTCCCTGTTACACAGTTTATTTTCTTAGAAAAATCATTGTAGAGGTTTCTAGTCCCTGCGTCGCTATAACCATTCTCCTCTTCTTTGCTAGATACAAAATTTTGGCTACAGATATGGCCACCGAGAATAAAGACTACATTTCCCAGGCTCCCTTGCAGGTAGACGTGGCCATGTGACAAAGTCCAGGCCATGTGAAGGGGGCAGAAGCCATAATGCAACTTCACACAATATACGACTTAGAGTTGTGCCCTTCCCCTTGCATTTTCCTCTCTTTCCACTGGTTGGAAGACTAGATGGACAAGGGCTGTAGAAGTAGGTATTAAGGAGCAAAAAAATGAACTTAGATCCCTAGCAACTCTGTGGGGTCTAGTGCCCCACACATAAGACACACAAAGTTAAATTTCATGAGACTCTTATTCCAAATTATCACAAATTCCCAATTACTGGAGTGTGAATTTGTGAGAGTTGATTCATCATGTACTATTTTGTTCCCTTTAATTCATTCTGGTTAGACTTAATTTATGGAGTCAATATGTACTTGGACGTATTTGAAAATATTTGGAACTATGCTATACCCTTGAAACGGAGTGGCTGCACTAAGCACTATATTCAGTGGCAACAGCCCTAACCTCTCCATGTCATCTAACATAGAGGTCTGAACCGTGTGGCTGCTTTCTCCTGGAGCACCTCTCTGAATTTTATCTCAGGTCTGAGATGGTAGTTCCACGGGGGCTGCTATCTAATGTAGAAGATGGTGGGGGAGGGCCCTAGGTGGTTCAGTCGGTGAAGCTTCCAACTCTTGATTCGGCTCAGGCCATGATCTCAGGGTCATGAGGTCAAGCCCCACGTGGAGCCCGCATTGAGCTGGGCGTCAGGCTCCACACTGGATGCGGAGCCTGCTTAAGATTTTCTCTCTCTCCCTCTGCCCTCCCACCCCCACTTGCACACACACAAGCGAGCACTCTCTTGGGGGAAAAAAAAACGAACAAATGTAGAAGAGGATGAGATTGGCTGGGACCTCTGTTGTTCAGACCCATCGGGTTCATCAAGCATGTCACTATCCTTTTATACCCAGAGCCAGCTCTAGTACCTATCTACAGAGAGAGAGAGAGAGAGAGAGAGCAGCAGCTGTGCCTGGGGGGAGGAGAGATGGTGGTAGAGCTTATAAATGACAAATTTTCAAATAGACATGGTCTAAAGTAGCAGTTCTCAAATCATGGTCCCTGGTCCGCAGCATCAGTAACCTGTGAATTTGTTAGCAATGTACATTCTCAGGCTTCAGCTGAGACCAACTAACTCAGCAACCCGGGAGGCAAGGTTCACAGTCCTCATGCTTTAAAAAGCTGTCTGGCACGCTCAAGTGAGAACCCCTGTTCAAAAGAATGTCAGAAAGCCTGAGAGTGGTAGTTACAATGGCCATATCCTGATGGGAGTACAGAGTCTAGAAAAACTTTGGCTAGAGGAAAACAACCAGGTGGGGAATGAAGTGAGGAACCACACTCTTCAGAGAGAGGAGTAAGACTAGGCGGGGTTCACATCATGCTCCTGAGAGGAGTCTAAATCCTGTACTCCTTCCTGTGTTTGGTACCTGGAGCCTGTCTGGCCTCTGCTTCTTGGTTCAGGCATTTCATGAGCCAGAGGTGGAAGATTGCCTTTATATTGCTCCATGCACAGACTGTGATTCTTAAATCGCTGGCATTTTTGAGTGGAAAAGGTGCCATAAACCCATGCTGACTACGACGAATAAGGAGGGCTCTTCAACGACCTATCAGTCAGCTCGGCAGGCTGAACCTCCCCTTGCCCTGGAAGAGGGTTTTGAGCCAGGAGCCAAGCCCTTTAATGGCTATGAAGAAAAAAAAAGTAGAATTTCCATGTAAGGGCTACCAAGAATATAAGTGCCTATTTAATAAATTATTTTTTGAAATGCCTTTTCCATTTTGGTAGTTGAAGTTTGAAAAATGTTTGGAGTACTATAATTATCATTTCTGGGAAAAAATACACATTGCAGTATTTTTGTTTTTGCTGCAGGTCAAGTTGTCATGCGGGATGGAAAGTAAACACGTCCCTTTGCTCAGCTGCAGGTCACATATTTGTAGTCTCTGCGTGCCCTCTTGGCGGTCGTGGTAGATGAGGATTTACGCCGTGGGTACACAAAGAATACAAAGACGGCATAGAAACGTGGGGCCCTTTCAGGGGCTTGGCCCAGCACAAGGCTGATTAGGAAGCTGTCTGCTGGAGCCGAAAGAACGGTCAGAAGGGTGGGCAGGCCTTCAGAGAAAGAGTTGTGGGAAGGGAATGAGGCTGTTCTGAGAGGCGCTGACCACCAGAGGTGGTCTGCAAGGATGAAGCACTTTCTCACCAGGGAAGGCCTTTAATGGTGTGGGTATAAATGCTGGGGACGGGGGGAGGAGGGCTCTGTATGTTTGTTTTGGGGAGGCAGTCATGACCATTAAATTCCATCTTGTCAATTTGACAACTTGGTAAGCCAGGCCCATCAGCACATCTTGAATGCACAGATAGCTGGGGAAGAATCTCCAGGGAAACCTACCTATGCAAGGCAGCTTCCTTCCTTCTCTCCAGACAGAGCAGAGACTGTTTTCTCAAAAAAGTGGCCTTTTTTTAAAAAAGGAATTAATAAAGAAAGTAATAGAAGCTGACAGAGAACCAGGACTTGAGTAAAACTTTCAGCATGCTAAGATGACTGTGTGTGGAGCATGCTAAGGATGTGTGCGTGTGGGGATATAGATGGGTGTGTGTGTGTGTGTGTGTGTCAGTCAGAATCGGCTTCACCTTTATCAAAAAGAACACTCATGTGATGATCACATCCCTGTCCCGGGCATTGTGTGGGGCATTAGGTTTAAAACAAATTTGAGAGGAGAAGTGAGCCAACGTTGAGGGCCTGGGGTATTCCCGTGTGTGTGTATGTGTGGATCCATGTATACACACACATCACATGTATACGTTTAACATGAAATATTTTTTATATTTACATAGCATATATATTACATACTTACGTAATATAAAAGAATGTGTATATTCTTTTAATCTCCAAAACAGTCTCATAGAATGAGTGTTTTTATGCCCCATTGAACGCATAAGTAAGTATACTGAGTATTCTGAGGTCAGTCTGACTCAAAGCCTAGACTTTTTGTAATAATTGAGGATGATGATGATAGGAGCGATTCTCTTTTGGACACTTAGACATGCCAGGCAGAGAACTATTTGCAGTATATATTATCTCGCTTAACTCTCATAACAGTCCTTTTATAAGGAAACTTTGACACAGACAGGTGCCGGGAAACTTGTCCAAGATCACACAGCCAGTTGTGGAAGAGCCAAGATTTGAACATAGTTTTTTTTCTGGCTCTCAAATCTTGGTAGTAAGCCAGTAGGTAGACTGATTCCCATATAAGAAAGGTAAAAAAGTATCTAAAAAGTAACCTCTGTTCAATGGCAAGCAAGTGGTACAAACAAGTTATTTTATCTTAAGTAATGAAGGGAGGAAGAGAAAGAGGAAATAAATGGCCGAAATAATTTTTCAAAAATCTACTTCTACATTTTTAGCTACATGGGTTGTGATTTTTTTTTTCCCCAAGAATGTGCAAACCCTTGTGAGAACTACCACCTGAACAGTTCAGTAGCCTGCTGTTCTTTATCTGTAGCCACTGTTGTGAGACAGAACAGTAGTGTTCTGCAGGACTGTGTGCCCGTCCTTTATTCACGCTGCTCTGTGCCCCCCCCTTACTCTTGATACATCTTTTTTTTTTTTTTAAGAGAGAAAGAGAGCATGCGTGAGTTGGGAAGGCCGGGGGGAGGGGCAGAGGGAGAGAGAGAATCTCAAGCAGGCTGCACACCCAGTGTGGGGCTTGATGCACGGCTCCATCCCACCACCCTGAGATCATGACCCCAGCTGAAATCGAGTTGGATGCGTAACTGACTGAGTCACCCAGGCACCCCTCTTGATATATTGTTTTGTTCACGTTAAGTATAGTCACTTTCGGGAACTTCCGAAGACCTCCGATTGGCACATAATATTCTTTGGAGTCCTTCTAAAGACTTTTGAAATCCATATACCACCTCTGGGACTCAGGAATTTATTGACAATATTACCGACAGTACCCTTGATTTTCTGTTCCTGGTTTCTTAGTCTCATAAGATCGCATTTTTCTACTATACTACTAAAACTCTACGTTGTTCACAAATCCTGGAGTTTTAAAGAAAAGGACTGGCTCCTCTAATTCAGTAACAATTGTTGGTCCTCCTTAAAGGAGCAGAGACCCGGAGTCCCTGGTTCCAAAGGAAGAGCTCGGCAGAACTCCTGCCTGGGGGCCATCCACAGAGGACCACCTACAGGGCCAGCCCCCCATTTCACAGATGAGGAACACCAGACCCTTCCTTCTCTCATCTTTAAAATCTGACGTTTTATTTTTCCAAATCTGTCTCATGATTACACAAAAGAAGAGCCTACTTTGCAGCATCCCTTCCTCAGTGGAGGAAAACTTGAAGTATAGAAAGCAGCCTACCCAAGGTCAGAACCCCTCCGCAAAATAGAGGCTTTGTTTGTATTCTGTAATGGATGTTGCCTTCCATTTAAACACCACCCTGGGGAGTTCTTCATTTCTTATGTTTATGCCTCTATGACATTTTCAAACTGTTATGAAGATTCCTCTCAAGATGTTGCTGAACCAACTACACAAATTTAGTTCATTTAAGTTTTCCTCATTAGTCATTTTCCCATTCTCTGATAATTTTCATTTCTTTTTTGTGGGCTTGTGTTTATGGCAAAAAGGGGACGAGGTATTCAGAGAAGTTTATTAGGCAAAATTAGTCTTTTTGAAAGCCATCTTCAGTTCTTTATACATTTATCCAAACCATCCTGAGGCCTTACTTTATTGCCAGATTTTTAAAAATAAATTCATTGTTACATTTTGAAAACGTGTTACTGTGTATGAATATATAAATTTAATTATATGAATGGCAAATCCCTCTGGAAGTAAATTGAATACATGTTCCTGGTGTGAATTAACAGATGATGAAATAAAATGTCTCTGGACTCAGAATTCTAATAACCTTTGGTAAACTGTGATTTAAAATTCAGTAGAACGTTCACAGGCCATGTTTGGGATCTAGCTCTTTACTCCCTACCACTTCGGCTATT